CGCGCTCTTCCTGAGGCTTTTCCTCATGCTCTTCTTTGGCCTGCAGCTGATCTCCTCGACTTCCGGGGAGAGGACAACCTCGTGTTCGGCGCAGTGAGCTTCTTGGGGAACCGAGGGAACAATAGCTGTTATGGGGAACCCTTTGCTTCGTAGTAGATCTCGTTGTTCACGGGTTAGTCGATCAATGCTTCGGATGGAATAGGCTGTGATAGATAGGCGTTCCCCAGTCCAAGCTTCAACAAAGTGCCTCCGGCGCGGATGAAAGCTGATCACTCGGTCCTTGGTGTTGACGAAGATGCCGTTGATCTCCTTGTTGTTGTCGAGGGTCATCACGTGCTTCTTTCCGGTGAGCTGGTCCTGCTCGCCGTCTTCAATCCAGAGACGGCCTCCAGATTTTTGTCCGAACGAGGTCGTGAGGTTGTAGCTGTCGGCATGGTTGTGGGAGTCCCGGTGGGGACCTGCCATGTTGCCTTTGTTGAGGCTCAAACTCGTCCATCGTGCTCTTCCGGGGTGGTGGTGCTTGAGGTAGGCGTTGATGTACTTGGTCACCTCGTTGAACACGTAGCTCTTCGTGGTCACGCCGGTCACTCCACCATGTACATATCCTCCAAGGATCACGGTCTTGCCCCGTGATTGGCATGTTCTCCTCGGTGTAGTTCCGCCTATAGCGCAAGCTCCATCAACTATTTGTTGGCAATCTCCAGGATTGAACTGCTTGTTGATGCGCTTCTCCTTGGCCAATTCCTCCAGCTCGTTGATATCACCAAGGCGTGCCTCATAGCACTCCAGGTAGTTGTCCTCGTGGTAGGCATCGTTGTAGATGTCGTCGTTCTGTAGCGCACCCACCTCCTCGTCAATGGGACGACCAGAGGTAGAAGAAGACTTCACCGAGTCTTTCAAAACTGTGCCAAAATGGCCTGATTGTTGCCCGCATGTGACTCCATCCTCACTGCCAGGCTCTGAGTAGGCAGTCGGCTCATAGAAAACGTCCGACTGCAGGTGTTCGAAGTACTTCACGGCGGCGTTGCTGTCGGTGGAAGGTTGTACTGGTCGCGCAGAGCTGCCATGCGGGTCATGAGGGCGTTGAGCTCCTGTTCCACTTCCGGTGGGATGTCCTGCTGCATGGGCGCCTGGTTGATCGTGTCGTCCCGAAGCTTCTTGGTTCCACTCATGGGGGCGACAGCCTTCGCCTTCGCGTATCCTCTCGTAGGGGGTAGAGGTCGTTGATCCACCATTGACCAACTCCCTGCCGATCCTGTCGCTGAGTGCGCGTCCGTCTCCGGCTGGTAGGGTATCATCGCATTCTCCTCCGGGTCGTCGACCTTGTTCTTGTAGTCCTCGCGTGTTGCCGCCCAGTTCGCCAGCCTCTTCAGATCGTCGCTCGCTCCGGCATTGGCTCGCGTTTCCTTGATCGCCCAGGCCAAGTAGCTCTCTGGTACGTCCTTGTACATGTAGTTCCGAAACCGGCCAAACGAAACCACCTCCTCGTCTGGAGCCCGCGTGAAGTCGCGGATGTGCTTGATGATCTCTCCCTTGCCCATGTTGTCGTTGATCGTCACCCGGAGCTCGTTCGCTTTGGCCCGGAGCTCCGCCAAGGTCATGTTTGCGAGCCCCTTCGGTGTCTGCGACGGATTCGCTTTCGATCTCCTCTCCTGGATCACCGCCCGGATTTCTGGCACCGTCCAGGTAGAATGAAGCGTCACTCCGATGTCGGTCCCGTACTTGATCAAGTCCGACTTCGTCATGTGCCATATGTTCTTCGGAGGCGCAGGAAGTGACATGGGCGGCACGCTCAGAACAGGAGATAGGGGCTGCCTTTGCGAACATCGTCTTTCCGACCCAAAGAGCGGCGAGAGGTGAAGAAAGCTTTCCGCGCCACATGTCATGCACAGGTGCAAGTCTGCGCGAGTCCTGACATGCCACTGCCCACGTACTCCTAACACAACCTAGGTGTTCAAGAAGGGCTTCCTTGTGTTCAACGTTTGATGTTCGCCATTGCTCGGGGGAAAAGAGGTTCTTGCGGGGGATGATGTGCACACGAATCCAGTCAGAGGGGCCTTCAATCCAAAAGTCGTTACAATGTTTGGTCGTGCTCCACCATGACATGAAGACAACTGGGTCAAAGGTTTGGGCGGTCAACATGTTGTACACCACTGACTCAACCTTCTTTGGAAAAAACAACGTCGCAGGTAGTACACGATGAGGTTCAGTGGCTTGTTGGGCTACTTCATCTTCGCCTAAGCCTGTCACAAAAGCTGTGTATACTGGAGCTGGCACGCTGTTGACGATCACCTCTCTGGCACCCCACTCTTGTGGGTCAGGATACTGCAGGCTTGGCCCTTTCGACGGTGAGACCGGCAATGAAGGATGACCGCTGCTTGTGAAGCAAAGCTTGTGGTTGTAGATGTCCAGCTTCTTGAAATCTGCACAGTGGTTTTCGAGATCGTATATCATTCCGAGCTTGGCCAAGGTGTTCCGGCTGAGGAGAAGGGGTACGTCTCCACTCACCACTGCGGCCCGTACCATGAAGCTCCTTTTCCCGATCTGTATTACCACCGTTGCAGTGTAGTTCGCCTTGAACAGCTTGGAGGCGCCAAACTTGAACTCATCATCGCATGGGATCAACTGCGGCTCCCATCCAACCTTCTTCGCCTTCGTGAGGTAGTTCTGGATCCATCGCTGCCCTACCACCGTCTTCGAGCATGCACAGTCGGTGATCGCAAAAAGGTTGTCCGAAGTAGTATCGTCTCCAACCTCGTAGGCGATCTGTACCACGTAGGTCTCCTTTGCACTGTTGCCGTGGTCCTTCGCGTCGCCTCGATCTTGTCCTCCTTTTCCTTGGTTGAGCGGGCATTCGGCATCACGATGCCAATGCCCGCGTCGTTTGCAGCCTGAGCAAAAGCTGCGAGACTTTGCTATCTGCAACTTCTCAGCCGAGGTTTTGCCTTCGCTCTTCGCAGACTCAGGATTTAGACCTCGGGCTTTCGCGATCTCCCGGAACTTTGCCTTGGCGCTCTCCTGAGCCATGTAGGCCTCATGCAACTCTGCTGCCTCTTCCTCAGGGAGGTCCTCGCCGACAAGGGTGGATGTCTCGTGGTCGGAGTCCTCGTTATGCTCAGTAACGTATGCTCCCTTCGGACCCTTGTGGAAGCCAGGGCGTCGGCCATCACCAGGTCCATTGCGAAGATATGCCCAGGGCCCTTTGAGGCTTTTCTCGTGAAGAATAGCAGCACGCTGGAGACGGCTCGTGTTGTAGTCGTTGTTTACGGAAGCCAGAACACCAAGTTCCTCGCTGTGACTAAGGCCTAGCCCGTTAAGGTAAGCCCAAGCCCGAGCCACTTCAGGTAGTTTGCAGTCTATCTCGAGAAGCCGAGTGTGGGCGCGGTCGTAGAGGGAGTTGTATTCGCGAATACTTTGGTGTTGTCCTCTTTTTAGTTTGCGAAAGAAGTACGTCAGTGCTTCAGCGACCTTAGAGACTTCAACCTCCTGGTAGCGGTCCTGCACCCACTGCCGGAAAACCTGCACTCCGCTTTCTGAGGCCAATACGTCCACGGAGAGCTCTTCGCTCTCCACCCAGGCCCGGCCTTGTAGATGTTGGTACAACAAGAGTGCTTGTTGGTGCCGGGGTGCACGGGTGACCTTGATCCAGGCGTCGATTTGTCTGAGGTAGGAGCGGGCGCTGGCGCCCAGGTCGTCACCGGTGGAGTCTGCAGAGAAGCTCGGGACTGCCATGCGTTCTGAAAGAGTGGCTTTCTTGCTGAGGTAGTCTTCCTCCGCATGGTTCGTGTCCTGGTCGCGCCTCGTCCATGTAGAAGAAGTCCAGTAGTCCTCGTTACTGCTGCATCGCCGTCCTTGCCAGGGCCCGTCCGAGCCACGATCGGAGTCTCGTGTGGAGTCCGATGTCCCATTCCAGTCTCCACACTGTCCTCGGCTCCATGACGAGTTGTCGTGGTAGCGGTCTGCTCTCCAATCCTGATAGGACCAGGATGTTCGCCGTCCCCATTGGCTGTCATCCCAATCGCGACTTCGTTCTTGCCACTGGTGCTGGGTCCAGCCACTCCCCGGCCATTCCTGAGAATCGCCTTCCCGGGCTGGTGTTTCTCCTGTTGCCTGTTCACCTTGGTCTTGGGCAGAATCAGGTACTCCGGCAGTGCCTGGGGAGTCTTCTGCAACAGGCTGTGGGCCGCCAGTGGTAACCGACGAGGTCCATCCCGACCACGGGTCGGACGGAGGCTCTTGAGTAGCCATGGCACTTACCGGCCAGAAATAAAACTACAGAAGACAAAAAACTACGCGAGGCCTCACCGAAACCCCCAAACCACCAAACAGAACCACTAGTACCCGAGACCGCGGCTCGGGCTCCGCTACCAATGCAAAACACAAACCGAAAAGACCGACCGAAACCCACCACGAACCCACCGGCCTCGGCTAGATTCTTTTCCATGGGGCTACTCATGTGCCTTGGTCCGCGGCGCGGGTGCAAACGTACGACCTGGGATTCACATAAACCCTATAGGCCCTAAACCCTAAACCCTTCTTCCTTTCCAACAAGGGACCCAGGAGTGGTTCCGGCTGCTGGATACCGGAAGCTGGTTGGGATACAAGGGCATCGCTACTTCGAAAAAGGAGTTTCGAGTTGGCCTTTTATCCTTGGTGCCTATATCGGATTCTTAGACAATGGATATATATAATATAGACACACACACATACATATATATATATATATATATATGCATATATATATATGCATATATATATATACATATACACGTATATGTATGTGTGTACATATGTGCATGTGTATACATACATATACATATACATGTATATATATATGTATTTATGTATATTGTCAAGTTCTTTAGGCCATGAGCTCTGCAGCTCAGGTGAAGGGTGGCTTCGGAGCTTGGGTAGATCTCTTGTGCACCTGGCCCGTCACAACTCTGCGCAACTCGAAGAGCACGGCGAAGTGGACCGCCAACAGAACTGTGAGAGAACTCATGCTGGACCACCAGTGCCCAGACAAAGTTAAATACGACCTCAGCGAGGAGGACAGATCTGCTTTGGAGCGTACCAGGATGAGCAATGCAAAGATGGCCCGCTTTGGCATCTTCGATGATTTGCAGGTCAGGGGTGCCGTCTGGTTGATTTTCGTTTTCAGATGCCTTTTTGTTGGGTGCATCTGTGGATGTAGGTATCTCATGGGAGCTTCCCTACCTGAAGGATCAGGGGGCGCAGCGTGTCTGTACCAGCTCGGGTCTAGAGTCTGAAGCTTGGACCCCGAACCTTGCAAAATATTCCATATGTCCCCACAGAAAGGACTCAGTGTAGATTCGTAGACCCTATAACACAGCGATACGGCACCATGACGACGATGGCGACCGCGACCACCAAGGAAAGACCGGAACCATTGCCACGACGACTGCGACCGACGACCACAACCCGGTTTCCGCGAGGAGAAAACACCCCTTCGCAGAATAACAAAGTCGTTTACTGGCGGGATACAGCATTCTAGAAATGCTCTTACCATCCCAAAATTGTCCCCCTTGTACCGGCGAGATTTAGTGCTAGATACGTCCGTCTCAAATCAACGTTATTCCCCCCCATGTACTGGCGGGACTCACTGTTATAAGAATGACCACAATGCTTCCCCGCTTTGTCTGGCTTGATTTCCAGCGTAACCCTCACCCTAAACCCTATAAACCAAAAATGCTCCCCGTGTGCTGACAGGATTCAGACCAAGGTGCTTCGTTCCCAAGCATTGCTGTCAATCGTTCGCGTGCGTGGGCGGACGCGCGCCGAGAAGCACTCCATAATGCGAACCACGCTGGAAAACTACGAACAGACTTACAGCACACAAAACTGTTGCGAAAACATAATGTCAAGATCAAACAGCACAACCTCACTGAAACTAGCAGCATCTAGCATCAGCATAGAACGAATGACGCCATGCTGCTTGCAGGCGTGCTTTGAGCGGAACTCTAAGATGCCCGGCTTTCTGGAAAAGTCCGGCGCAGGCCAGTGTCTAGGCTCTTCTCGTCATTGGTCGAATGTCTATGTTCTTCGAAGTTTGAAGAAAGGACAAGCATTGCCACCTTAAAGGCAAATGGAATTCAATAACAGATCAGCTTTCTTCGTGGTGGAGTAGAGTAGAGTGTTTTGTCAACTTCCTGGCCAATGATCGATCCGGACTGCTAAACCCTAAACCCCGAAACCGTGGACATCTCAGGTTTGTGATAGACATCGGTGTTGGATGGGAGGCCAAAGAGATGAGATTAGCAGTCCAGAACGGCTTCACGGTCTTTGCTTTTGAGATGCTACCTGGGAACATACAGGAGTTGAAGCAACTGGTTACAGGCGACTCCAGGTTTCATTTCGTGGAGCTCAAGAAGGAAGGGAATGGATGGGTACTACCAGAGCTGCCGAAACCCGCTGGCAACACCGGCCTTGCCTACGTAATCAATGCTGCAGTCTGGGACGAGGAGACCACGGTGATGTTTCCAGAGAGTCTCATCCGCTCCCACGTGGAGTCGGTGACCACTGGGCGTAACGAGGGAAGGCCTGTCCCAGTCTTGCCTTTACACAAGCTCCTTCCCAAGTGGCTTCCGCACGTGGATTCTTAGGGGCTGAGTCGGTAACCTTTAACCTTTTCGTGCTTATATAAAGCTATGATAATTCAAAAGGTTTACCTTTTTTGGGCTGACGTAATCGGCCGCTCAGGATTACCTGAGGATCGAGGCCCAAGGACACGAGCTGAAGGTCCTGCGTGGATGCGAGAGAGTGCTGCGGGAGCCGCAGAGTCGCTACATACAGCTCCCCTTCTGCACCGAAGTTACCTAAACCCTAAAGCCCTAAACCCTAAACCCCTAATAACCCCTAAATTACTAAACCATTAAAACCCTAAACCCTAAACCTTTAGGGTTTAGGGAGGAGCCTGTAGGGTTTAGGGGTTTTGGGTTTAGGGTTATGGGTTTTGGGTTTAGCCTTTGGGGTTTTTGAGGTTAGGGTGTTGGGTTTAGCCTTTAGGGTTTTCGGGTTTAGGGGATACTCCAATCCCATAAACCCGTAGAAGGCCCTTGTCCAAGATCCTGAGCGCGAAGGGCCCTAGTAATTTTAGTAGAAAGTAAGGGGTTTCTGTAGCAGGAACTACTACGACGACGACGACGGCGACTACTACTACTACTACTACTACTACTGCTACTACTACTACTACTACGACGACGACGAAGACGACGACGACGACGACGACGACGTTTGGGTAACGCATCCTTCATATAGGTACCTACGACCCTTTGGGCATAGATTGCTATCGTCGAGCCTCCATAACAGCCAAAGCCCCCTTGGAGCGGCGAGGTTCGTTTTTGCTCCCTGGCTCATAAAGCGAGCTCAGCTCCTTGGTTACCAGTACAAGGGTTCCGGGCCTGGGGGTTGTGGGGTTTAGTAAGGTTTCATATTTAGGGCTTGGGGTTTCGGGTTTAGGGCCTTGGGTTTCGGTGTCGTATTAGGGCTTAGGATTTAGGGTTTAGGGGTTGGGGTTTAGTATCTTGAATTGTTTGAAGGGGGCTCTCGTTTTGCTGGATAAAAGGCTGCGGCACTTCCTAAAGACCTACTGGTAAAGCCCTATATCAAGCCTGTGACACTCCTGTAGAACCTCGCCAAATGAACCTCCAAAACGACGGCCTGAAACCTACAAACCCTCACTGCAAACTCTAAAAAACTAAACAGTCCTAAGTCCTAAACTCTAAACCCCACTTAAACCGTCCTAAACTCTAAGCCCTGGGCCCTTTTGAAGAATCTAGGACTGGAGATCTTCTGGAGTTGCTTCGGTTCCTGCCGGGAATGGGAGCACTGTGCTACACTGCAGCTGGGCTCTTAAAGTAGGATTCCAGGGATGACGTTACTTTGGGGTTTAGGGTTTAGGGTTGAGGGTTTAGGCAACTTAGAGAGTATGGTTGAGGAACGGAGAGTTTGGAGTTTTTAAGGGGGCTCGGGTTTAGAGGGTTTGGTGTTTCTTGTTCTGGTGTCTAGGCACGTAGAGTTCGTGGGGGAGTTGTGTGCTTTTGTGGTGGGGCTAAGGATTGCCGGGTTTGAGACTGAACCTGAACCCCCCCCAAGCCCACAAACAACAAGTACACATACGCAAGAAGCAAATAGCAGAACATCGCAAAGCCCGAAACCCTAAAACCCTGAACCTAAAGCCCTAAAGCCAGCCCTAAAGTCTGAAATATTAAAGCCCGAATTCTGGGCTCTTGTGTACGTCATGGCTTGGTTGGATCTGCGGCGTAAAGGAAGCACTGTGAAATAACAAGGTCTGTTTTTCCTGGACCCCAATTAAGGCTCAAAGAACACAAAAACCTTACATAGTATCGTCCTTGGGCCCAATCGATAAGTCCTTACAGCCTAGGGCGTTTTCAACCCTAAGCCCTAAACCCTAAGCCCTAAGCCCTGAAGCCCAAACCCTAAATCCCAAGCCCTAAACCCCAAACCCCAAGCCCTCAACCCTAAGCCCTAATACTAAACCCTAAGCCCTATAAACCCTGAACTCTGAGCCTTAAGTAAGCCCTAAACCCTAATACTAAACCCCAAGCCCTAAGCCCTATAACCCCTGAACTCGGAGCCTTAAGCCCTAAACCCGAAGCCCTAAGCCCTGAACCCTTGAACCCTAAGCCTTAATTCATGAACCCTAAACCCTAAGCCTTAAACCCTAGCCCCCTAAACCCTGAGCCCTATGCCCTTGAAGAGCCGCCGAGGCGAGTTCACCGAAGCTGCATCTCCGATCCGGAGCTCCCTGGCCACTGCAGGACTCGAGGTATCGATTTGGGAGAATTGTGTTTAGGGTTTAGGTTTGAGGGTTTGAGGGTTTAGGATTTAAGGTTTAGGGGTTAGTATTTAGGATTTAGGGTTTAGGGTTTGAGGGTTTAGTATTTAGGGTTAAGGGTTCAGGGTTTAGGGCTTAGGGTTTGGAGTTTAGGGTCTCGATTTGGGAGGTCCCCTTTGTGTTTGGGGTTTAGGGTTTAGGGATTCGACCTGGGATACTTGTTGAGTTCCCTTATTGTTTAGGGTTTAGGGCCGTCTAGGGTTTATACTGGCTATTAATATTACTATCAGTTTTATTAGTACTACTACTAGATCTTCTACTATTACTTCTAGGGTACGATGTATAGAGCCCTACTTATATATGGTGGTTTCCGAAAATAGGGGACCCTAATATAGTATCCCAAATAGTAGGATCCTCATTATAAAGGACCCCCCAAATAAGGTACCCTAATTTTCGGAAACTCCCTTTTTAGTGTTGGGGGACTGTTGAAATCGACACAAAGGACTGGCTCAAGCTCCTGGATGAAGGCCACCAGGGTTTTGCAGGAGTTTCGGGGCTTCAGGGGTTTAGGACTCACGGGTTTTGGTGGTTCAGGGTTCGCGGTTTTCGGGGTTTAGGGCTTTGGGGTTTGGGTTTTTGTTGAGACCGTTTCGTTTTTGTTTTCGGAATTTTCGGTGTCTCGGGTTTTCGGGCTTCGGGGTTTTCGGGGGCTTAGAGTCTAGGGTTGAGCAGTTAGGGTTTAGGATTGAGTTTCAGGTTTAGGGTTTTCCGGTTTTCGGGTATTTCGGTGTTCGGGGTTTTCGGCGATTCGGGGTTTAGGGCTTTCGGGGTTTGGGGTCTACGTTTAGCTTTTAGGATGTAAGGTTTAGGGAATAGGATGTAGGGCGTGCTTGAAGGCCACGGTTTTAGTCTACGGGCTCCGTATGGGGAGTTCTCTAAATTAGGGTCCCTTTTTTTCCTCCCCAATATAGTACGGCACCCTTAATAAAAAGGACCCTAAAAGGGGACCCTAATTTAGAGAACTACCCATATGGCTTTTTGGTGAGAGGGCTACCCGACGGAAACGGCTCCCGAAGCGGTTTACGGAGAGCCACGAAGCTTTGGGGGTTTGGCGCTTCGGGTCATTGAGGCTTAGGGCTTGCATGCCCTATAAGCCTATAAACCCTAAAACCTACAAGGTATAAATCCCTAAACCCTAAACCCTAAGACCCTAAAACCTGCACAGTGTACATCCCTAAACCCTCAACCCTGAACCCTAGACCCTACACCCTAAAACCCTAAACTCTAAACCCTACAAAGTATAGATTAAGGCTGGTAGGGTTGAGGCTTGAGGTCTTCGAGCTTGGGGGAGGGGCTTACAGTAAACCCCAAAAAGTTGGAAACAAGATCAAGGACAAGGAACGCTGGGATTCCCTATACATTGCTCTTAAGGATTGAGGCTATTGGGTTTCCAACTTTGGGGCTTCTACTGTACGGCCGAGCGAGGGTTTAGGGTTTAGGGTACTGGGCAGTTCTCTAAACTTTGGGTCCCTTTTCAGGTCCCAAAGATAGTACGAGGCACCCTTAAACAAAAAGGGCCCTAAAAGGGCCCTTTAATTGAGAGAAGAACTACAAATATGTGGAGCTTTTTTGTCCCTGGCTTTCCAGCGTAGGGTTTGAGCTCTGGGGCCTCACAACCCAACCAAAGACATGAAGCGCTTGATCTCCAAAACTATCCGTATTGAAGCCAAACTACGTACTATAGGCTCCTAAGTAGTTCCTTTTTCTGTTTCATATTTAGAATCCTATAAGGTAATCCCAAAAAGGAACTATATACTAAGGATCCTATGGGTAAACCCTAATCTAAAGCTTCGGTCAACCACGTCATCAGAGAGGTTCCGGATATATTGCTTGTGTGGACAGGTATATTTACCAAGAGAGACCACACTCATCCGTTATGGCTTTTGAGAGCATGGCTGACCTTCTCAAAAAGCCTGTCAGCTTCCCTCAACCCTAAAGCCTAAGCCCCAACTAAAGGTTTAAATCCTCTGCCCTGAACCATGAAAGCCTGAAACGTAGAACCCCTCTGCTCCGCCGTAAAATCCAGAAAAAAAACCTTTAAACATCTCGAAATCCTACGCCCCAAACCCTAAAACCTAAAAGCACATGAAGCCCTCCCCGAAACCTCGCGATGTGAAGGCAACTTCACTGGCTACAACCGCCCTGTTGGGATGAAAGATTCTCGGGCCCGTTATGCGTGTTCCTTTGTAGGGCGTAGGGTTCAGGGTTTAGGGTTTAGGGCGTTTATAATAAAGGGTCTAGGACTTTTTGAGTTTGGGGTTTAGAGTTTCGGGTTGAGGGCTTAGAGGTTTAGAGTTTAGGGTTCGGGGTTTAGGGGATTAGCGGACTTATCCAAAGGATCCAAGTAGCTGTATCGGGGGGAGATACTTGCATGAATCGTAAGTTACACAATTCCCTGAGATAGAAGCCCCAGCTCCTACGATGTAGGTGGTTAGGACTCAGGATTACGATTGGAAATCAGCCTACAAGTTTTTCACCATTTGTTCATCGCTTTGGTATCATTTGGGGTCATCATTTATTCATCATGTATTTATCATCGTTGTCAGTGCTTGACACTCGTCTCGTAATCGTTGCCCCTGGCCTACGGAGCCTGGCACACCTTTATCCTAGATGCTTCAGAATCCAAGCTTGGCCGCCGGTGGGTCTAGTACAGTACGGTGGACGTCGACTTCTCTTTATTGGATGCCAGTGGCTAATTATAAAAATAAGTTGTGTTAAGTAGAAGCATAATCGATGGAGATGGGTGGGGGATTACGACTTACAAGTCCTACAAGCGCCTGTGAGCAACCAACTGGCGGCCCGGTGGCCCTAAAGCTAGAATCTAGCCTAGCCTCTATAGGGCATGGGTTTGGGATGCAACCGAGGGAGGGAGAGGGGGGTGGAGGCGGTATATGTGTTTTGGTCGTTTGCGTATCGGGTTCCGGGCCAGGGGGCGGATCATCGCTTTGTTGTCGATTGCTTGTCGGGTTCTGGGGCTGTGGAGGGGTGGTGCGTCATTTTTTCATCAGTTGTGCATCGTTTGGGAGAGGTTCCGAGGGCTTGGGAAATCCTGCGTTGGGGGGCGGGGGGAGGAGGGGGGAACCTGGAAATCTGCAGTTTTGCTGGACTGTCATCATGTTTTCATCAGTTTTTTTTATTATTTTCCAATACATATTGCAAAAATGATGGGAAATCATGAGGAAAAATGATGAAAAAATGATGACAGTTCAGCAAAAGTGCAGATTTCCTTTTGCTGGACTGTCATCACTTTTTCATCATTTTTTCATTATTTTCTCATGGTTTGCATCTTCTGTTATCGTTTGTTCATCATGTGTTCATCGTTTGTGTGTCGTTTGTTTTGTGATTCTCAGCATGCCACGGTTAGGAAACGTGTTTTTTTTTCATTGTTCTGGGCACAGACCCGGGAGCTTGAGCTGCACGCAGTGGGTGGGCAGTGGCATGGGAGGGGCGGGCAGATCCGACTCCTGCTATCAAAGATCTGAGAACCGTCTCCTGCTTGCAAGATCGAATCTCCGGTTTAGTTGACTGCAATGAAATGAGATTCAACTGGCCGAGTCTAGCACTTCTAATTGATGAATTCTTGTGATCTTTGAACTTGGGCGGTCTTTGAAACATGGACCGAAAGATACAGTTGCTCGAGCAGATACCGGTGCGAATCTGTACCTGACTGTGGGCTCAAACCAGAAATAAATGATGACTACCCGGAACCCAGCTTCAGACACTATGACAAACCCACAAACAAAAGATGATTAAATGATGACCACCGACCCTACCCAAGTGATGAATAAATGATGAATAGACTTATATCTATGCACCCAGTGTCTACAGGAAAAAATCTCTTTAACTTAGGACCACTTGGGTTAGTAAGTGGATCACGCAGTTCATTTATGGGTTTTGTAGAGTCTGGACATAGCTTTTGAGCTACGGGGTCATTGTCAGGATGTAGGGCTAGAAAGCGTAGAGGCTTTAAAGTTTAAAGGTTGAGCGTTTGAGGTTTATGCTTCCGCATTTGGGGAGCTCTGGTAGGGGCACCACCAAGGACCACTACAAGATGTGGATGTATGGACCCTGGGTGGACATCCTGTGCTACTGGCCTATCACTGCCTCGAGCATGGAGGAACCGACCACAAGCCAAAGCAGCTTTGGTCTGGAGGCGGATTCGGTTTCAGGGTTTAGGCTTTGGGGTCTAGGGTTTAGGGGTTGAGGCTCTGTGTACCCTAAGCCCGAAACCTTGAAATGTGACGATCGACCCTGAACCCAAACTTGCAGGTTTTACCCACTTATGCTCGCCCCTGAGGGTCAGTGACCTAGATCTTGTCAAACACTGTAGCCTTCACGCGTGAGTTCCGAGGCCATCGTACCCAAAGCCAGCTTTTAAACCTCGATTTGTTCAGGTTGCTCAGAACCTGTTCTTTTGCGATTAGAGCCTTCAGACACTGGCCCCTATCAGTGTTGTCATCATCACCCACCCGCAGCATCCCCCATGTTCAATGATGCCAACCTGTCCTTGGCCACTGCTAGCACTACCAGCTGCCACGGTCGCTGCTACCACACCCAGGGACATCTGACAAAGTGGCGGACATCATACTCTGACATTGACCGCATGTATCAAGACTACGAATACTAACCCTAAACCCTTAACCTACGACATTTAGGACCAAACCAGATTGTTACTGTTACTTCTCCCTGCACATTGCTGCCGGCATAGGTGACACCACCCGGCGAGCAGCATCTGCAGCAGGTGTTGTTGCAGAAACCACCCATGACTCAGCCGCAGGCACTCTTTGCAAACGGCGCCATGGCCGTACTTGAGCATTTGGAGTTCAAGCTTTGAATGGGACTTAGTGACTTAGTGATCTGTGGAGTTCTTGGTCGAGATTCGTTTGGCTTCAGGCCCTAAACCCTAAACCCTAAACCGTTTTGGTTCTCTCCAGTTTCTGGGTCTCTTTTGTGCCAGTCTTGAAGAGCTCTATAGTCTTGTGCCCCGGGGTGCGACCCTGGAGGGCCTGTGGTGACTGCTTGGAGAGACGTATCAGTGCCCTGAAAGGGGTCCTACTTAGGGTTATGATACAGTACTTATGCGTCTATAAGACAACTACTTACTAAGTCCCTCGACCTGCAAGTTTTGTCCTCCTGGCCACCTGCCCGCTGGATGGGATGTCAGGCAAGGGCCCATTACCAAAAAAAACCGTTCTTGGAGATGCCTAGCACTGCTCGGCCCTTGAACTACATCAACATAGCACCACTTGGAGATTATCCCCTAAACTCAACTTTCCTCATGCACATACGGTCACACAGGCCTGGTAATTGTCCAGGCTTGAGAAGTATAGTTGTAAGGTAAACGTAGAGTACAGAGAGTCTGAACCTACTCGTGACTTGCCGCTCTTTGAGGCGTGGGGTTCAGGCTGGAAGATCTGAAGTCCAGGACTTGCACCCGGGGGTGTGTGGGGGGGGGGGGGGGG